CTTGTGTCCTTGGTGACATATGGTGTTTTCATTTGATGCTGTTTGCTTGTGGAATAGTTTGGGTCAATTTAGACCGACTCCAGGGAATATGTTGCTGAAGCATCTCAGATATTGTTCAGTCTTAATAAATGTGTTAATTGGGGCCAAAACTAAATTACTACGCTAAAAACAGTCTTTGGTCAACAAGAACAAACAGGGCGTTGGCGACCCTTTCAGGTGCATGGGACTGGAACAGATGACACATCAATCAGAATGCAGGACCAGTTGACCAAGACCTCCATGATGCTTGACTCAGGGCCTGCACTTGCCCGACTGGAGGCCCCCCACAACATTGGAGAGTGGTGAGGCCTGGGAGCTGTGGTGCAGTAAGGCAAAACCTCGGCAGGACCCCTGCTTTCTCCTGGAAGGCTGTTCAGACGGTGGCTCTTGGGAATCCTGGGGGACATGATCAGGGAACACACTGGCTGGTTTAGTTTGCACCTACTGGAAAACTGCCCGAACTCAAACAATCGAAGGAAGTGCTGGCATGGGCACTGGGTAGAAGCTCGCAGGCTGAAGGTTGAGAAACACGGGAGCTGACAGGAGATCAATAGGCCATGAACTATGAAATCCACGAGGACCAAGCCATGCGGTGTTTTCCTCTGTATACTGGCTCATATTCAGGCATCAGACAGAAATTTACATCTGATGAATCCATACTGGTCAGTTCATACTATCATGGGCTGATTATTACCCAAGGATCCAAATGCAGACACTAACAGCAGGTATTTAAGAAAAAAAAGGTGGGCTACATCAAAAAGCTGATACAAAACAGACCAGGGATGAGACATCAGCTAGGGTGCAGGATGGGCTGACCAGGACTTCCATGATTCTTGGCTGCGGGACCTCCACAAGCATAGTGATGAGGCATAATGTCAGTGGGATTCATTCTTCCTTCTGGAAGGATTTCCAAAAGGTGGCTCCTGGAAATGTTGAGAGGCAGGCTCGGGGACCAAAATACCTGGTTCAGTGTGAGCCCATTGTGAAACTTCCTGGAACCTAGCGATCAAAAGACTCACTGGCAAAGGCACAGGGTGGAAACAAGCAGGCTGAAGACTGGACAACTTTGGGAATGGCAGGAGAGACAGGCTGAGAACACCAACATGCCCAAGGACCATGCCTTCTAGTCGGGGCCATAATGGCCACATTTGTTCCTCTGAATACTGGCTCATACCAGGCATACGCCAGGGCTTGTAGGCCACAGCTGTCTCTCACATTGAAAGTGTACCTTGTCTTCACGCAAACATCTCAGTGTCTGGTGTCTGCTGGGTTCCTACTGGTTAATTCATGTTGTCATGGATTGATGAGTAAAGAACCCAAATACAGACACCAGTGGCAAGTGTTTAACCAGGACCTCCAAGGTGCTCAGATGCAGAGCTAGGGGGTGGTAAGGCACAACCTCGGTGGTGAGATACACACTTCCTTTTAGAAGTCTTCCCAGAGCGTTGCTACTTGGAATCTCGATGGCCAGAATCAGGCAGCAAACTGGCTGGGTTAATGCAAGCCCACTGAAAAATTCCCTGGAGCCTAGCAATCATAGGACTTGCTTGCAAAGGCACAGGGTGGAAGCAACTTTGGAAGTGACTGGAGATCAACAGGTCGAGAACACCAACATCCATCAGGACCATGCCTTCAAGTGTCGGGCCCTAATGGCTAGGTGTGTTCCTATGAAACCTGGCTAATATTCAGGTATAAGCCAGGGCTTGTAGACCACAGTAGTTGTTGTCAGTGAGAGTGTAACTTGCTTTCGGTCAAAAATCTCGGTTTCTGTTGTCTGTTGGGTTTATTCTGGTCAGTTTGTACAGTTGTTGATACCCAGGGACTGAACTGCACCAGGCACAGGTATTTAAGAAACAAAAGGTGAGCTTTAATCAAAAAGCTGATACAAAACAATCAACAGTCAAAAAGTTAACATAAGCATGGTGCTAGCTAAAGCAAGAAATAAAAAAAAAAAACACACACACACACAGACACACACCCACACACACACACACACACACAAAACCTAAAGCACAAAACAGAGGCAGAGAAAAAGAGATGAAGGTGGGGATGAACTCAGGCAGGTGAACAGGAGGTCTTGAGGGAGATAAAGAACCTAACGAACAGGATGAACTGACAAAGACAGAGGGAGAGACAAGGCTATGTAGTACTCAGAACTGATTGATGAGACAAGACCATATACATTATTGTAGCAAAGCTATTTACAAATGTGTATGGAGAGTTGTGTGTCTGTATATCAATCTGTGTGTCTGTGTGGAAACTCTGGACAGGTCACCAGTCTATCACAGGGCTACACTTAGAGACAGACAACCAAGCACACTCACATTCGCACCTATGGACAGTTTAAATCCCCTCAACATGTTTTTGGACCTTGGAGGAAGCCGGACAACCCGCCCCCACCGGGACACGAGCCGGCGACCTTCTTGTTGCTAGGCAACAGTGCTACCAACTGTGCCACCTTGCAGCCCCAATTTGTTAATGTGTGAAAAGATATTAAAGGATGAAAAGTCTAAGTATTTGGCTACAAGTGCTGGAAATACAGAAATATCACCAGTTACAAGCCAAGCAGGCTTCACCATTGGCTGTCTTTTTATACATGACTTTTGCTTCACTTCTGCCGTGCGAGATTTGTATCTGTAACTTGAGGGTTTCTGTGTCATGAGCTCAGGCTCACAGGCTTGTTCATTCTGGCTGTGTACTGCTCTGCTGCTCTGTACCTCAGCAGTAACATTGCCTGCAGCCCATCATGCAAGTTGTTGCACAGCGACCCACAAACTCAGCAAATGTTACTTGTTCACATACAAGACAATGCTGCATGCCCGCAAAGACTCTGGAGGAAAGTGTCGCCTGATGGTTTACAGGTGGCATAAAGTACACGGTGCCTTAAAGTAGATCCACAGGTGTACCTCCAATTAGTTGTCAATTAACCTATGAAAAGCTTCCAAAGCCATGGCATTGTCATCTGGGCTTTCCCCAATAGTGTGAAGGCATAGTAATCTTAGTGTTTGTAAACTTCTGAATTAAAGAAAGTCATAAAAAAAAATCTCTAAAAAAATCTCTCTCTCATTATTCTGGCATTTAAAAAGAAGTAATTTTGGTAATCCTAACTGACCTAAAACAGGAAAAGTTTAGTCTGATGTAATGTCAGACAGTGAGGAAAAAAAAGGTTGTGTGTGTTTTTATATAGTGTATGTAAACTTGTGCTTTCGGTTGTATGTATGAATATACCCATAATTCCTACTAAAGATACAGTCTTCAGTTGACATTTCACCAACTTTTGAGGCCTCTAACATTTGTAGAATTTAATGTGTGGCAAGTATTGCAAGGGGCTGCAGGGTGGCGCAGTTGGAGCACTGTTGCCTCGCAGCAAGAAGGTTGCCGGTTTGCGTCTCGGTGGGGGCACCGGAATCTTTCTGCGTGGAGTTTGCATGTTCTGTCTGTGCAGTGTGGGTTCTCTCCGGGTTCTCCGGCTTCCTCCCACACAGTCCAAAAACATGTTGAGGTTAATTGGTGATTCTAAATTGTCCGCAGGTGTGAATGTGAGTGTGTTTGGTTGTCTGTCTCTAAGTGTAGCCCTGTGATAGACTGGCGACCTGTCCAGGTGAACCTGCCTTCACTCTGAGTCAGCTGGGATAGACTCCAGCCCCCCGCGACCCTCGTGAGGATTAAGCGGTGTATAGATAATGGATGGATGGATGGATGGATTTCAGAATCCAAGAAAAAATATTTAATCTCAGCGCTTGAGCGTAAAGTTAGCAATAATATTGTTTCAACAACACTTTGTGAATTGTTATGTGAAAATGTATTGCTTTGTTGACATCATCACAGCAGCCTGATGTCATTCATAGTTTTTTTGGCTTTAACAAAGTGTCAAATTTTACAGTTCTAGAGAAGGAAAAAAAAGTACACTGTTGGCCAAATTTTGCTGTATTTAAAATGTATTTTATTGTTTATTTTTGCAGGTACAGTGCACAGTTAAAGGTAACTGCAGCAGAGTTAGCTAGCAGCTAGTTTGCATGTATTGTCCCTGTGCAGGCTCATAAAAATCTAGCATGGGACTAGAAGTATACAACATAAAACACAACACAGAACCTCAGTGTCCATCAGTGTGATAGAAATAGGATGAGCAAATACAATAAAGGAAAGGTGATCAATAATGGTGACAATTTTGTGCTGACTTCCGTCTAACCTTGAGGCTGGAAAGCTTTCTGAGTATCTGATGTTTGTAGAGATGGAATCCCATATGCCCACTGTCTTTAGAACTCACCTCTAGTCGATGCTCTGGTTATACCTGTACTGCTGTTGCCTGGTTAGGTTAGGCCAGACATCCTGTAAGAATTAAATTTTAGACTTCAGGCATCAGAATAAAAGAAAAGTGTCTGGTGACCCTACAGACTTGTTTAATGAAAGACAGGGATGCCTCGATATTAAAAAGGCGTCACAGGTGTGATAAATCCCCTTTAAATAAATAACGGGATTAACTGACTTATTGTTCCTCACAGTGAAAAACATGCAGACTGTTTCACTTGGTCCTTGGTCCAACACATCGTGGCCATTGCAGCTGTCAGTTTGGCTGCAACATGTTCTTTAGATCGTGCACAAGTAAACATTCCCTTTTACAGTGATTTACTACAGTGAAGCTACAGAATCCAACAAGAGAGTTAAATTCTGACCTCAGTCTAAGCTGAGAGTCTCAGACGGCAGAAGAGGTTAAACATGAGGACGGGCCTGATTCTCTGATCTCTGAGGCCATAGATAAGCGAACTCAGACATCTGGGAAACAGACCAACACACACATAAACAGCAGCCTGAATGCGCACAAGTACAATCCTGGTGACAATTTGCGGGAGAGCTGTGAGCAGCGGCTTTTGGACGGTGGAGGAGAGGCTGAGGCCCAGCTGCACCAGATGCAGCAGCAGCGTGTTTCGAGCCTTATGGCCCGAAGCTTTGTCTGCAGAGGCCGACCTGGCTGCTGCTGCAACACCGATATAAGATGAAGCGATCACCACAGCAGCCAATATGAACACAAAACACGGGAAGGCTTTGCTATAAGCATGAGATATCGGTCCAACAATCAGTGTCACGCTCGAACAGTAGTCTTTCATCTGCAGAGTCTGCAGCTCTCCTGAAAGGAACTCTAACAGAAGAAAAACATGTATGAGAACATTCAGAAAGGAAAAGGTCCAAACCAAAATGATCGCCACACTCGTGTTTCTGATGGTGATGATATGAACATGTCTCAGTGGGTAACACACAGCTACATATCTGTCCACTGACATCACCATCAGCGTGAGAGGAGAGATCGTGCTGGTAAGGTTAGCGAGCACAGTGAGAAACCTACAAACGGGATACGTCAGTGTTATTCTACAAACAGCCAACAGGTACAATAATTGATTTAGAAGCAGCTGCACAGTTTCTGCACACAGGAGGTTATACAAGAGGATGTAGCGGGGAGTCTCACGAAACACAGCTTTACTCCTCAGAGTGAACAACATGGTCCCGTTAATGTAGAGAAACACACAACACGGCAGTGTAGTCACAATGGACAACAACAGGATCCCCAGCAGCCCCTCATACTGCAGCCCAGCTGTCACGTTAGTCTGGTTTCTGGGTGACATTTCAGAACTTGTTGGTGTACCTGAAGCACAAAAACACAGAGAAGCAGTTGGTAAAAATGCAACCAAACACAACGCTCTTTAGGGCAAAACACAACATCGCCCGGCTGGCGTTTCACTGTGGGGGCAGGGCTGTTCTGCAGAGCTTAGTGAACCTCCCGTGTTGTTTATGAGCTTTGTCTTCACTGCAACTTCACGTCACAGCATCATGTGACGGCGTGTCAGCAGACGAAGACAGAAACCAGCCAGATACTGTGCAGGGGGAATCTGACCCGACAAGCTACAGTCAGTTAATGTCAAATCAGAAGGAATTCAGGAAATATGTTGCTGCATTGTCTCAGGTTTTGTTCAGTCCTCATAAGTGTGTTAATTGGGGGCAAAAACTAAGTTCAAATAAAGAAATAAGTTACAAGAAGGAGACTAGTGAGGGAGGCCACCAAGACACCTATGACTCCTCTGAAGGTTTGCAAGGTCTGGTGGCTGAGATGGGTTTATACAACTGTGGTCGGACACTGTTAAAAAAAAAAAAAAACTCATATCAGACCGGACTAGAGTTCACCAGAAGGCATGTGGGAGACTCTGAAGTCAACGTAAGAAGCTTGTTTGATCTGGTAAGGTTTTTGGCCATCAAAACTCCTTCAGAGTTTCCTCTAGTTGGTTTCAGGCACTGGACTCACATATTTTCAAATTTCTTTGGAAAAATAAGCCATCGCTTATTAGCTTAAAAACTTTACAGCAACCTAAAGACAGTGGTGGATTGGACTTACCCAACTTTAGTCATTATTTCTAAGCCAACAAGCTACGATATATCTCCAAATGGCTTAAACCTAGCTATCTAGATGAACACTGGTTAGATGTAGAGCAAGCAGTATATGCGAGGATCTAGTCATTTCTGACTTGCCTTTCATCAGCTCAACAGTCAAATCTCAGAAATGTTTTGAACACATTAGCATCAGCTCCTTTTTGATGGCATGGTGGGAATTTTTGAAAATAACCAAGTCTTCACTAATTCCGTGTAAGCTTGCACCCATTTGTAACAACCCTGACAGCCTGCAAAACAAAAAACAGATATAATAGAAAATGGAAACTTCTTGCTATTTGATATGCTGACTTCACAATATGGAATCAGCAGCACAACATTTTTAGAATACCACCAACTTAAATCTGTTATAGGTAAGAAACATAGCATCAACCAATTGAACCTGCAGCTACCAATCAGGGTAGCAGATGTCATGCCTCAAAGCTGTTATCAAAAATATACAGATTATTAACAAAACTGGATGATTCAGTCTCCCTTCCAACTTCAAAATGTGAGGCTGACTTATCCAGTAACTTCAGTCAAAATATATGGTCAAAAATATAATATATATAATGACTAAGAATTCAAATTTGGTGGCAGGGGCGGGGGCAGATCTGTGTTCGGCCCTGTTGGGGGTTGTCGTGGCCTGCGGTGGGGCCGCCAGGTGGCCGGGCTGTCCTGGGGTGGGCTGGGTGGGGGGTTCTGGGCCATGGTGCCCGGGGGATAACCCTAACCCTAACCCTAACCCACCCGGGCTCTTAGTAGGCTCTGGGGTGGGGGGGGGGGGAGGGTGGCTCTCGGGCTTATGTGGCCCTGGGCCCTGCCCGGGATGGCCGGTGCCTCGCGGGGTCGGTGGCTGCTGGTCTTGGCCCGCTGGGACCTCTGCCCCGCGGCCGTGGCGGGCTCTGGCTAGGTCCTTTCTCTGCCGCCGTCTGGGGGGATGCATGTTCGCCTCAGTGGTGTGGTGGCTGAGATTCACACTCCAGGATTTCTACTGATGGCTCGGGTCCTGGAGCTCATCTGTCCTTTGCAGGGGCTCAGTATGCATTGCATTCATGTTTGAACACTCCTTACCCCACACATTCTGTAAAATGACACTGCATTGTCCGCACAAATATCTACCTTTGTTTGCTTTGTTTGTTTCATTTATTTATTTCTTCTGACATATGAAGTTTGTTTTTGTTTTTTCTTCTGTGTTTCTTTTCCCTCTCTCATCAACGTGTGCACATATAAATCTTATGCTCTGGTAATCGTTGAGATTCAGGTTTTCTCAGCCTGCTCATCTCTTACAGGTGCTCTTGATGATTATCAGCTCTGTTTTCCCGCAAAAGTCGTCAGATCACCTCTACTGTGTGTTAGTACAGGTGTAGTAGTTGATAGATTGTGGTGTATTTGTTTTCTTATACTTTCCTTTCACTCTTTGTCGCATTTCTTTAAACTGTACATTTTTCTTTTTCCCTATTTCAGGTCCAGCAATATGACATGCAATTCAGTAATAAGCAAGCCTCCAAAATAAATGAATGAAATAAAATAAAATAGAATAAATACATACATATAGTCAGGGCATTTTATGAGATTTCTCACAAATCTGTCAACTAAATCGTTACCAAACAACTTCTTCACCAATATGTTTGTAAAGGTGTAATAACATGCCTTAAAATGTTGAAGTTCAACTCTGGTGGGAAACCCTGAAAAACACCTGCTCAAGTTAGGGTACCGATAAATGATTGATGAAAAATCGATTTTACAATTTCTATGTGATTAATATAAAAAAGAACAATATTATCAGACCTGGTGAAACTCAAAGATGAACTTAAAACACTGTCTGAATCAGTGCAGTGTTTGTAAAAATGACATTTCTTCTAAACTGGTATCTTCACCCGCTGACTGTGACAAAACATGAAATCAGCTGTTGGTAAATGTCTGAACTAATCATTAACAAATGAAATATGTGACTTTTTCTTCTTTTTATGTCCATTATGTAGGATTTATGATCTTTTTTTCTTT